AGAATTTGAATAAAAATAAACAACTCACACACATAATTGTGGGTTTACAAAACACAATGTACCACTAACTTGTGAAAAAGCAGAGCAAAAAGTCATGGACTGGGGGCTGGCCCGGTGGCGCACGGGATAGTGCGCCGCTTGGGAAGTGCGGCGGCACTCCCGCCTGAGGGTTCGGATCCCACATACAGACCGGTTCCCGCTCACTGGCTGAGCGAGGCGCGGGAGCAACACCGAGGGTTGCGATCCCGTTGCCGGTCCCGGTCCGGTACGGGGGCGACACTGAGGGTTGCGATCCGATGCCGGACACGGAAAAAGACAAAAAAAAAAAAATTTCCTTCCTTTGGCATAACAGAATGGAAATGAAACACCTTATTAGCTCCACCTTCACAATCTAACTCTCCAGTCCCTTCCTCCACACTAATTCCATTCCTCGTATATCGGGAATTTCTAACCTATTTAGTATACAACATGCAGCTCAAATATCAACTACCATTTGAAGCCCTTTCAACTGCCCCAGCTAATTATTCTCCCTTTCATAGGCTTCCAACAGCATCCCAGTGTATTCACTTCAAAACTTATCATATTAAATTATAATTAACTGGTCTTTTTCTCCCCTGCCACTCTCTGAGTTCTAAAAGACCATTGTGCTAATGCATAAGATATTCAGTGGTAAGTGAACAAATGCATGAATACCTGCTGCTGCAAAGCTTCTTGGTAAGACTGAAGAGATTGTTTTGAAGGTTTTGGTTTATCTTCAAAAAACAATCCTGAATTTATCACTTGATCACTTGTAATTTTCAGTTCATTCTGTCCAACCGTATTCCTACATCAAATACACAATTAATAATTTGAATCTATCTATGACCAAGCAAGAAGGAAATGCAACACTCCTTTGAAACAGCATGGCATATGAATACATTTAAAAATAGAGAAGGACATTTTCCTATAGGCCAAAGAGGAATCCTTAAGTAAATGACCTCTTCCTAAGCTCTCCTCTTGCCTCTGCTTTGACAATCCATGGAATTTTCAAATTTACTGGATCTATTTTCTTGAACTAGGTGGCAGTTACATGGGAGTGAAAAAAGTTTATGATAATTCATTAAGCACTACACATATCACTTAGGCATTTCTCTGAACATATAGAAATAATAACACAATGAAAGTCCCTCAAGTAACATCGTAATAACTACATAGATACACCCTTTAGATTCAAAGACACAAATAGAGGGTAAACATGGAAAATTATATACAGAGCAAACAGCAGCTAAAAGAGAACTAGAGTAGCAACATTTATACAGGTATCCAAAAAAATACACTTCAAGACAAAAATTATTACAAGAGACAAAGAAGGGTCTCATACTGATAAAAGGATCAAATCATCAGTAGGACCTAATAAACACATATGCATATAACAACAGAGACTGAAGAGAGAGGAAGAAAAAACCAACAGATTGAAAAGAGAAAAAGACAATTCAAAAACAATAGCTGACAATTTTAATACCCTACTTCTAATAACAGAACAACTACACAGAAGATAAGCAAGAAAATAAAAGAAATAAACAGCACTATTAACCAACTACATCTGGGAGACATTAAGAGAATAATAAACTCAACAACAGGATAATGCACATTCTTCTCAAGTGCATATGGAAGATACTCCAGGACAGACCATGTTAACTAATAAAATAAGTCTCGATAAATTAAAAAGGGCTTACTGAAATCATACAAAGGACGTTTGTTCTCCAACTGCAGTGGAATTATATTAGATTTGAATAACGCAAGGAATGTGGGAAATCCACAATTATGTAGAAATTAAACAACAGATTCCAAAATAACAAACAGGTCAATAAAGATATCAAAAAAGAAATTGGAAAATATTATAAGATGAATTAAAATGAAAAGAGAATATCCCCAAACTTAAGAGATAAAGCTAAAGCAATACTGAGAGAGAAATTACAGTTGTAAATGCACATATTAAGGAAAATACCAAATCAATAATCTAACCTTCCACCTTTAGAAACTAGAAAAATAAGAGCAAACTGAACCCAAAGTAACCAGAAGAAATGAAATAAGATTAGAGCAAAAATCAATGAAATGAAAACTAGAAAAAACAACAGAGAAAATCAATAAAACCAACAGCTAGTTCTTTGAAAAAGAACAAGATTGACATTTAGCTGGACTGTACTCTTAAGACTTAGACCGGTTCCCGCTCTCTGGCTGAGCGAGGCGCGGGAGCCTAGAACATAGATGAACCTTGAGGACATTATGCTAAGTGAAATAAGCCAGTCGCGAAAAGAGAAATACAAAGGTACTTCAAAGAGTTCGTGGAAAAGGGAATTAAAAGATAATATGAATCTTTTCATGAACTTTTTGAAGACCTCCCCCCCCAATACTAAATGATTCCACTCATACGAAGTACTTGGAGTAGAAAAAAATCAGAGAGACAGACAGTAGAATGGTGATTGCCCTGGGATGAGGGGAGGGAAAAATGTGGAGTTACAACATTGTTGTTTAATAGGTACAGAGTTTCAGCTTACAAGATGAAAAGAGTATTAAATACCACTAACCAGTACACATAAAAATGTTAAGATGGTAAATTTTCTGTTATGTGTAATTTAACACAATAAAGAAAAATGGGGGAAAAAAAAGAAAAAGAAATTATTCTTTTAACTAACAACTTACACAATAGGTTGTGCTAGCTGGTTGGTGACAGGAGCACTAACATAAGTTGTAGGCTGTATTCCCATCATTCCTGAACCATCTTAAAAGAAAAAAAAAACATTTATTTTGAGGTATCCATTTAATAACACGTTATCCCTAAGGAAGAGGGCACATAATGAAAATGTTACCTAAGGAAAAGCATCAATATTTCCTTCTGGGTTAGGAGTTAGCAAAGAACAACATAAGAAAACACAAAATACTTATTTCTTAAATCTAGATAAAAAGGAAATAACCATAAAATACAACTGAGTTTTAAAACAGAGCATTTATTAAGTCAATAAATATATAATACTTGAATCAAGCAAAGCTGTGCTTTTCTCATTTATATATTTTGCTTGCACAAACACCAATTTTTATTTTGAACCACTGGAAAAAAAATGTTTACCCTACAGATAACTTACAATAGGCAAGACTGGGATCCAAAGTATTCCTGGAACCATAAAAATAGTAAGCATCATCATAAGGAGTTCGATAGTTGGTAGCCAAAGGTGGTAGTAGGGGAGGTGGAGGCAGGGGTGCAATCCTAAAGAAAAATAAAAATCAAGGTTATATTCTTTTGAAACTATATCACTGAAAATCCAATCACTACTTTGGAAAAAGCCCTCTTGCTTCTATTGTTCATCAAAAATTATGTCTCAAAAAGCAGATAACATAAAATTTCACAATTTCAGATACAACATTTATGCAAGACAAAGGTTAACCTAAGACAAGCTTAGGTTAATAATCAATTTCCAATAGTCACTTAGTGTCAGTATTGAACAAAGACAGAAATGGTCCCTGTCCCTCAAGAATAACAGAAATAAACTAACAATTACAGCCATTGTTAGTTGGAGAGGAAGAAAGCACAGGGAAGGCTTTTCAGAAGAGGGAACGCTTTTCAGAAAAGGCAATACTTAAGCCATTTTACTAGAGTGAGCTAATCACAGATAGAAGGACAGTCCAGGAAAAGAAGGCAGAGCTACAAAACAGCATGATTATTAATGGTTCAATTTGATTGAGAATAAGGGTGTATTTTAACTGTAAATGTACTGTTCTTTCAAAGGAAGTTTACCATAATTTGAAATAAAAACCACTTAAACATCAACAGTAAAGTCTTGACATAATCTTTAGCATTCATAAATTTAAAACTTCTGAAATCCTCTCTATTTAGCACTTCATTACTGATTAGAAAATATCTATGTATTTCCATTAATGCAATATTTTCCAATAGTAAAAAATGTCAAAGACAAATTCCCTTAGATGAACAGAAAGAGAAAATGGGCATTCTAGAATATTTTCACTTTTGAGTGTATCTTAACAGATTCTCCCTTGTCATATACTTAGTAGTGAGTATTTTTCACAATTACTAGTCACTCAATATGTCGAATTTTACTACCCTCACTCCAAAGATACATCAACAGAGAAGTTGAACAACTGTTATGGAAGGGAGCTGCCATAGTCATTAAATCAAATTTTATAAAATTTATGTAAGATTTAATCCTCACAACAACCCTGTAATTGTAGACAAAAAAAAAAAAAAATTACTATTCCACTTTTACAAATGAGAAAATTGAAGTTCAATAAAAGTATGGTTTGCTCAAAATCCAGATAGTGAAGCCAGCCATTTCAATCCCTAATCCACTGTTGAGACCACCATACAATGCTGTGTAATTCCAATCACTTCCAGTCTTTTGAGTTGGGAATCTTAGATGAAAAAAAACAAAGCACCTGATAAACACAGTAAATATAGTCCTACAATTTGTTAGTACTGAATAAAAGATTCGACCAAGTCCTACTGAAAGAAGGAAGCATAGCCCAGGATACACTGATGCTCAAAAAAGTTAAGAAAACATCTGGAAGTTTAAATAAATTTTTATAATTAATATATTAATAGTAAGCAAAAAATAAGCTCAAATCCTACAGAGAGAAGGAAAGAAGCCCAGAAAATACCAGTATTAACAACAGCGTTTTCTTTATGTATAGTCCAGTATAGCATTATGTCTTTTACTTATACAAATCAAATCTTTACTCCGATATCTAGGTTACAGGTTTTATAACCTCAACATTTTTTATTTCAGGCATTTGAGTTGCATATCCCCTAAGTAATCACAGAGAAAGAGCTGAAGGAAACAGAAGCTAAAATAAAATCATATATATAAAAGAGCCACATTAGAAACTTTTTCTGCATAAATTGAAGAAATAATTCAATGTTTGCCAAGTGGAAATAACAAAATTGAGGAAAATGTATAGCTTTTATATGTTAAAAGATATTAAAAATAAATATCCCAAAATATGACCTAAAACTAAATACTAAAAGGTACCTAATTATTCATTCTAAAAATATTAAATCATCTTTAAACAATAAAAGAATGTTATAAGGATTTCCCCTGTTTTTATAATACCAACAATGAAAACAAATTTCAAGAGAAATTATTTGAAAAAGCTGTTAATTGTACAAAATCTCTAAAGGATAATGTAATCTTCTTTAGCACATCCTTCTACACATAAAATATAATGATACCTTACCTAATTCCCAAACACAAAACATTTTAAACAAGCACCTGGGAGGCACCATTTCACCAAGGGTGCTGTTAAGTCCATTGTGCAAATCTTCATTTTGAGAAGGAAGGGAGTGAACTGATGGGATGGTTGGGGCAGATGGGGTAGATAAAGGAGGGAGAGGTGTCTGGAAAGCTACTCTGGGTCTTTCAGGTGGTATCATCTCTTCAAAGTGTCTTGGTGCCACACCGAACTGCTTTAGCCTATCAGGCTAAAATAAAGAAAAAAAAAATCTATTTGTTACACATAATCGTAAATTTAAAGGTGAAGAGCCACTCAAAAGACCCTCTATCCCAGCAGGCACTTAAAACAGTCACAGAATAACAGAATTGTTACAACTATAAAACATTTTGAAGATCTAATTCTTATTTTATAAATGGGTAGTTAAGGCTCCCTGAGGAGTACATAAATCACCTAAGGTAATAATCAAGCAAAGATTAGAGCCAGATATTAATTTTAAATATAGTATTCTTTTTATATATTACAACACTATGCTACTTCTCTATCCAATAGTCATTTCTGATATCAATGCAGTTTATTCTGTAGAACAGGGTCAGCAAACACTTTCTATAAAGGGTCGGATAGTAAATTAGTCATTGCAGACCATATAGCCTCTTCACAACGACCTGACTCTGCCGTCGTGCTAAAGCAGCCATAGACAATATACAAATATATACGAATGAGCGAGGCTGTGCAGCAACATAACTTTATTTACAAAAACAGGCAGCAATTAGATGTGGCCACAGGCACAGTTTTCTAATCCCTACTCTAGAATGAAAAGTAATAGTCCAACTATTGTCTTTAACATTTATTTCTTTTCATAAATCAACTTGACATCTGTAGTGGCTTCGATTAAAAAATAAATAAGGTCTGTCACACACTAATGTAACCATAAATCCAAAATTTAACATGCCAACACAGCACATTAAAAAGCTCAAGTTTTTAAAAGGAAATTTTTGACTGCAAAAGCTACTTCAAAGATATTTATTGAAAAAAGAAAAAATATTTAGCTTTCAAATTTCTTTTTTCTACCACTGATACCTATCAAGAATGATTTCTCAGGTTAATCTAAAAGTTTTATTCTATGAGCTGTCAGAAGGCACACTGAGAGTGATGCTGGTGCAGTATTAAACTTTTTAAAACAGAAAACTCACAGTATATATACTTAGCATATGTAAGTCAAAAGTTGCCTATAGTTGAATAACTTTAAGTTGCTGTACCCCTTTTAAGAATGAACTTTTTAATCAAATTAAAAGTCTTAAACATCATTCAAAGGTGAAACAAGAACTTGCTTTAACAAATAAATACAACATATCCAGCTACAGAAAATGCACATTGTGGTAAGAGCAATAAATTGTTACCTCCTCCTTACTTAACTGCAATGATGTGAGTAATTCATTCCACTTAATGATGAAAATTGCAAAATTAAAGTAAAAATAAGATTACTACCTCTAATTTTACATTAAGCAACAATTACTAAAATGCTTAAAGACGAGAATTAACATTTTCAGTTTTTTTGGAAATCACTCTAATACAAGAAAATTAAGTTGTCAAGATATACTCAAGAAAAATATTAACATCAATTGTAAATTAATCTGAGATATTGTTCCCATAGAACAGTACATGTGAAAAAAGCAGAGATTTAAAACAAAATAATAAATGAAAAAGGAAAAATTTTCTTAGGGAAATAAACAGGTAAGAGTCAGGATTTACAGTTTATGAGAACTGAATTTACTTTATTACTGTTCAAGTTGGTCTACTCTTAGATTTCCCCCAATATCCTCTATCCCCACCTCCCACCACATTTGAGGGTTATTTGAATAAAAGATTAAACATTGAAAGATGCCAGGAACTCTTACCGATTTCTCAGGGTCTTGTGCTCCAGAAGCTGCGACTCTGAGTTCTAAATCTTTTTCTCTAAACAAAATTAATTAAAGTTTTATACATTTAAAAGTTACAGTAAACACTATCAAAATTATAATCATCGAAACAAACTTGAAAACAAAGTCTATGCAATACATCTCCAAATATAACTGACAATAAAACCTTAAATAATACCAAAAACCAAATTTTCTGATTTGGTGTAAAGTAAACTAGAATTTACATGTAACTGACTTAGAATAAGTATCTTTAAACCAGTGTCTGGGGTACTTCAAAGACTAAGTAACACATTCAGAATAAAATACAAAAATAAAACAGAATCTTTACTTTGTGAAACAAAAAAAATCCTCTTTTAGGGTACATACAGACACGTATTGCTTAACAACAGGGATACCCTTCTGAAAACTGTGTTGTTAGGCAATTTTGTCACTGTGACAAAATCATAGAGTGCACTTACACAAACCTAGAGGGTATAGCCTACTATACACCTAGTTTATGTGGTATAGCCACCACTGCATATGTGACGTGTCGTTGAACAAAATGTTGTTATGCAGGGTATGATTGTACATTTTCAGTTTGCAAAGAGAAAGGTAAAAACTTAAATATAACTACCATACTTTCTAATAAAAGTTTTTAAGAAAATGATGTTAAAGATGGCTAATGTCAGACAGCAGATATTGGCTTCCTCTACCATAGAAAGAAAAAAGGCAAAACTAAGGTAATAGGTCTCAAATTCTTTCATATCAGGATCTCTATTCCTAATTTAAACTGCAATATTTGTACAAAAAAGATTACAAACACTGAGACCTGTACACAATATACCTGTGTTGTACACAAATACCTGTGATTTACCATATGATTTGTTTTCTATTTCATGTGTGTATGTGTGCTTACCATTTCAGATGGAAAAAAGATAAAATACTTTTATATCTGTTACTATATATGGGGATAATCCAATGGGCATATAAAGACAATATTAAATGCTACCCTAAGTCAAAACTTGAGGAACAGTTAAGAAAATAAAAAGCCTATTATAGAATATATAAGAGGGGACTTCAAAAGTTCATGGAAAGATTCATATTATCTTTTAATTCTATTTTCCAAGAACTTTTTGAAGTACCATCATACCTAGCCTCATTTGTTTGTTACCTATGACAAAGAAAATGAACATTCTTATAGTATTTGCTTTATTTTCCTTGCTGATTGATAAGGTGGAGATTGAGATATAAGTGATTTGCAAATCAAAAAGAATATTAGGAAAAACACTCCCTTATTTAACCATCGTGTCATTTTACACAAATGCATTTTAAATTCAAAACATCTCTATTAAATGCAAACCTTTCATTACCGTCTCTTATTCTTCTGTTGCTCAGCCATTTGTTCCAATAGTTCTAGTCTATATTTTTCTTTCCTTCTCTGAATAAATTCTCGATCTTCACCTCCTAGACAGTAGTAAGAAAAAAAAATGCAGTCTTTACTCCTGGGCATCATATGCAACTAGAAACTCAAGTAAAAAAACAACAATAACAAAAACTCCATTTTTAATTATATTAAAGAGTAATTACTGAATATGCAAGAAATATAGAAGGAAAAAATCACATATATCAGTACCTCTTCAATTAATTTCATAAGTTATGAGTACCTACTATGTATCAAACACAAGATAGAGTAATCATTCCCAAAAACCTTCCTAAATAACAGAACATTCTAATTCTCATCCGTATTTTTTCAATTATCTGGATATCTTCACTAATACCTTCTAAAAGCCCCTTAAATTTAACAATTCCATCCAAAATGAACATCTCAAAACCAACTGCCCCTCTTCGTTTTCTGTTAATGGCCCAATAATGGAGCCCCAAAACCTCACTATAACTTGAATCACTCATCCTCTTATTCACCTCATATGAGGCCCCCTCATTTCTATTTTCATGGTCATTAACCTTGAAGAGATTCTCTCTACATTCGACCTGGCTTGCAGCAATAACTTCCTAACTAGTCTCTTCACCTCCCTTCTCCCTGCTCCAATATATCCAGCACACTTATGTAGGATTAACTCTCTTAAAATATAACACTAATCAACTGGCACCTTGTATCTAAAGAAGATTATTATTATTGCATATGTTAATGCCATGAAATAACCTCTTGATCTAGATATTATGATCTGGAACACTACACAAATCACAGGATTTCAAGAATAGAACTGAACCAGCCATTTCTTTACTGTGTTAATTACTGGTCTCCCAACCCATCAGTAGGTACACAGCATCTGAGATTGTTCATTAAGCATAGATGTCAGCAACAGTGAAGCCCCACAGGGGTAAAGCAAATTACATTAAGGTTAATAACAGTGTTTTATAATCAAAGTATACATCTCCATTCTACTTCAGACCATGATGAAATAATGAGCACAGGACTTAACCTCCCACAGTAAAACAACTGCATTCACAGAAATTCCATTTGGCTAGGAAAAACCTAAGGAGGAGAAGTAAGCTGCACAATTCTCAGATACTGAAACAAAGGAGAGAAATTCAAGCTCCAGCCAGTTAATGTAGTGTTCTCATGGTCTTTCAGTGAAAGATGCCAGAAAGGTCACTATGTAGTAATGAGGCTGAACTACCCCCTAGAATGAAGGCTACTTTAGATATCCCCAGCTAAGCTTAAAAATAGGCCTCAAATAGATCAAACTGGTCCTTAGTAACAGAGAAATGTGACTATGGTAGGCAAAATGTGAAGATGGCTCCTATGTTCCCTTGCCCCCTGATGCTGACTTCCTGTACAATCCCCTTCCCTTGAATGTGGGTGGGACCTGTGACTTGCTTCTTTACAAAAGAATACGGGAAAATGAAAGAAATTTGCAGATGTAATTAAGGAACCAAATCAATTAATTTTGAAGTAATTAAAAAGGAAATTATCTCAGGTGGGCTTGATATAATGAGGAGAAAGCCTTTAGAAGGATTGGGCCCTCTCTGAGTTTAGAGATTCGTTTTGCTGGCATACAGTGAACAGCCATGGTGAAGAAGCCCACATGAGAAGGAAAAGTATACAACCTCTAAGAAATGTGGGCAGCCTCTGGTACACATCCAGTAAGAAGCCAGGACCCTCATTACTATAGCCACAAGGAAATGAATTCTGCCAACAACCTGAATGAGATTGGGAACAGATTATTTCCCTACTCAAACCTCCAGATGAAAAACTAAGCCTGGCCGAAACCTTGATTATACTGTTTTGAGACCCTAAGCAGAGGATCTGCTCAGTAAGCCATGCCCAGACACATGACCCACAGGAGTTTCTGCCCAAGTGCACTTTCCAGATGTTCATGAGAAAGACTGGAATGGGGCAATACAGAAGACCTGAAAGAGACCCTTCTGTGGCACTCAAACACAAAACAGTGCCCATTTTTCAGATTCCTCTCATACAAAGCAAAAGCTGTAATCTACTGATTGAGGGGTAGAAACCCAGCATGGACTCAGTACCCTACAAAGACAAAGCAAAGGTTTGTTACTATTAGGGGAAGGGTAGGAGATTCTGATGCAAAACCCTCCACAGACATAAAGGAGAGTTTGGCTACCACTCTGGGGAAGAGCAGGAACACTGAGAAAGACCAATCCCTGAGACCCAGATGCACAGGACCAGCCCTGCACCAAGTAATAAATAACAGCAATCCACTACTGAGAAAGAGGAACTGTGGAGAGGGAGATGCCCTCTCTGTCAGAAGCATGCAGGTCTTGCTGAAAACTAAGGAAAGTGGAGGAACACAGAAAATCCTTCTAGCACTCCAGTCTCCACATAAAGGACAAGATAGAGAATTCAACACTTCTCTCTAAGCAATTGATAGAAGCAGATAAAAATCATCAGGGATATATAAGACATGACCACACCGTCAAGCAACTTGACTTAACTGACATTTCTGAACCACACCATGCACATTCTTTATTCACCAAGATAGACCATATTCTGAAACATTAAAAATTTTTTTATTAAAGAAATTCAACAAACTGGAAATAACAGATATTACACAAATTATGTGTCTGACCCAAAAGAGACTTAAACAAGCAGTCAATAACTAAAATGACAGAAGGAAAATCCTAAATATTTGGAAATTTAAAAACATGCTTCTAAATAACCCATGGTTCTATTACAAAACACATTGGTATTTCACTCTAAGAAGTCAATTATTCTTGTTTTTTTAATAAAGCAAAAGGCCCCAAATGAAGTCCTTTGGGCAAAATTATATGAAAACAAATTTTAGTTCAACTGAAATGAAAATATCATAAAAATTACAGCCACCTAAAGATGGAATGTACTGTCTCCAGAGAGAGTAAGTTCCCTGCAGATGTGCATAATGATAGTCTGGGGGGAAAAAAGATACAACCATGAGATAAGTCACTGGATTAAATGACTTTAATGGCTCATTCCAAACATTACAGTCTATTATCTCACCAAATATTCAACCATAATTCCTGGGCTGCATTAATAATAAACTCACACCATTCGTCTTTAAAATGTCGGGGTAGAGTAATCCTTTTACTAATTATTTGTCAGTGGGCTCACAGCTCAAAAAGTCATTTCTCTTATTTTTACCATGTTTAATAAAATACATCATCAGAATGTAGCCTTTATACTACATGATACTGCTAGGTAAAATTGGTCAATTCTCACAGACATTACACTAAAATGAAGTTCTAGATGGTATGCCGTTTTTCTCACAATAGCCATTTCAAAGAAACAAAGGTTTGAGAATATAAAGGGATTATATGTCTCCATGCCAAGACTTAAATCACTGACTGCTTTTAGGTTAGATGAACCTAAACTGTTATCCAATTTCCTCATATACTGTACTAAAACCAAATTTCAGTTAATTTTTTCTAACAGTTTTCACACAAAGAACAGACCTCTTTTCTATGTAAGGGTACAAACAGGAAAGAAGGTTCTCTTTACACTGTTTCTTAAATTAAAATTGTCACAAGTATAATATAGCAAATCAACAAGCTTATATCCAGCAATAACCCTGACTTTTGATAAAAGAAATTTAAAAATTTGGTCCATCATCATGATTTGAACATAATCTCTCTCAGAAACTACATGGAAAGATCAAAAGAAAAAAAGGTTAGGTTCAGAGAAACTGACTAAAATATAAGGCAGCTTTGTGCTAGCTCAAGAAACAAAAAAAAGAATGAAGGAAAAAAACTATCACATATGAAACAGAACATAACAAATAGCTACACTACAACAAAGTGCTAATAAAATATGAAATCAAAACTTACTACTAAAACTAATATTTCACTTATAATCTACAGAAAGTGCATCATTAAATACATTATTTAACTTTAAAATTATACAGAGCTCTATAATACATGTTTAAAATACTTAGCATAGTTCCTAGCATAAAGTAAGCACTTGATAAATGTTTGCTAATATCAGTAAAAGTAATATTAATTATGACACTGAGTTCTCATTTAAAGACATTTTATAAAACACTGCCAAAGTCTAATCAATTGGAGGTTTTATACACACCAAAAAGCATTCCTGCAAAAGGACTACAGTTATCTTGATTAGCAGATTTGGACAGTTTATTGTCTCGAGCACTGAAAAAGAGAAAGAGAAAATTAAAATACAGATAATTTTCAAGAAGCAATAATTTAAAGTAAAGTGTAGATATGAGTTAGGTCTTTCAAATACTGTGGACACGATAATATTTACAATATTTTTAAAGTTAAGGTAAAATCATGGCATTTTATGTCTTTATACAGTCGGACCCCAAAGAATTCAGGCTCTATAAAAATATAACCTTTTTCTTCAGCCTGCTTCACTGGCTCTATAGGTTCTCAAATAAAATCCTTTTTTCATAAGAACAGTTACCCTAGTAAGGAAAATGAATATACATGCACAAAAATAAATCCTAAAACAGAAAAGAATGTATGACCTATGCACGCACTCGGAAAAGATCATCCCTTAAAAACTCCTTCCTTGGAGACAGAGACAAGGGAAAAAAGATAACTCTTTCAAAGCAAACTTAATTAATTAGAACCAAACAGTAAATTCTATTATTGCAAGCATCGTAATAATTTATATATTACTTTTATTCAAAGAAAATAGACACCTTCTTAACATGACAATTTATCTTTAAATTATATACCACAGATTCGGAACTGTTTATCCTTAAGTATGACACAGGAAAGCCACTAAAATGATAAAACCTATAAATAGAGAACATCAATATACAATACATATTATTTCCTTTCTTTTCAACCTGACAGAATTATATGAGTACTAATTTTATAAAGTATGCATAAAAGTTATCTACTTGATAAGCTGAAAATTAAAAATAAAGTTTTCCAAAAAAAATTCACACTTCAGGGTCATTTTCAATTTATTTCTGGTCAAGTTGCATTACCATGACTCCAAGATATTTTAAATTGATTTTTAGTCCATTAAATTATATGCTTATTTCTCCTTACATTATATCCAACAAATTTATATACTTTGTAATGACAGGGACTTACTCAGAACACTTTGGCATGCAGTATAACCAAAAACTTGTTCTCCAAAAGAATACTGAAAGGTACTACGAATTTTCCTTTAACACTACATCCTCACCTTTTTTACCCCTTTAATTCCTTTCTCACTAATAAGGGAGGCTGTTAATATACTAAACCTTTCTACTTTTTCCGTAAGCCAGTTTTAGGCAAATGTTATTTCACAGCATGATGACCGAAGGGCAGAATTTATATTGCATACTATACCTCTTGTTTCCAGCAGATGAAATTCGTATGTTTGACTGTTCTGTGACCTCACCATCATACTCCACAGGAGGCACATTCCCTCGTCTGTTCCCATGCATCCTTAAAAACATACTAGCTTAAAGAGCATGCACAACATACAATGGACCTTCTTATATCTCTTTGGTGTCTTTATATTTGATCTTGGAAACATTAAAGGGAGCAAAGTGTTATAATGGAGTTTTACTGTAAACATTCTAAAATTCATTCAAATGAGATTATCTTGATTATGATATGCTGGTTAATAAGACAATAAGACTTCAAATTTAACAGTCTTCTTAAAAAAGAAGGTTATTAAAAATTATTTCAATATAACTTCTAGAAATTTATTTTAAAATTACAAATCTGACACTCTTTAATCCTGTATTTAATAAGTGAATAACTGAGAACCAAGTACATACCAAGTATCATTCTAGGCTCTGGGTATTCAGACATAGTCCTGGCACTCAAAACGATTACAGTCAAAATACAAAACAAGATCATTTTTTAAATCAAAATTCACAGATTCTGGAAATTATTTCACTGCATATGCAAATCTTTTTAACTTAAAAATATAACACCAGTCTCACCAATAAAGTAAATCAAATGTAACAAACCATAACATTTGCTAACATTGTAAATCACATGAAAAAAAGAAATGTTAGGGCCGGCCCAGTGGCGCACTGCTGTAGTGCGCCGCTTGGGAGCGCTCCTGCCGAGGGTTCGGATCCCACATACAGACCGGTTCCCGCTCACTGGCTGAGCGAGGTGTGGGCGCAACACCGAGGGTTGCGGTCCCCTTGCCGGTCCCAGTCCGGTACGGGCGCGACACTGAGGGTTGCGATCCGTTGCCGGACACGAAAAAAGACAAAAAAAAGGAAAAAAAAAAAAAAAAGAAATGTTACCAATAGATAAATGGAAAACATTATAAACAAACAGGCTGATACATGGGTAGAAAATGATTAGTTCACTTTACTCACAAGGTCATAAACAACAAAAAGAAAGATGGAATGTTTTTTACTTTCTTAAAAAACCTTTCAGAACATAATAATAATGCTTTTCAATTAGTCTTTTTTTTTCCATTTGGCAAACATTGATTTTTTTTTTTAGCTTAATTTCTCATATCAGAGAAACAAACATGACGTTTTACACTTTTTACACCAGCATTTATCAGCATCCATGAAAATCAGCATTTCACAAGTCATATTTCTTTAAGCTACTATTAACAAACTATATTGTGTTTCTCAAGAAGACTACTAGAAAGAAATATGGTTGTTAAAGTATAATTCAATATTTTAGGTGAATTTCATTGTCAGATTAAAAAAAATTGCAATTTTTTGAAGAAAAGGAACCTCTCACTCTCCACAAAGCCAGTATATGAAAGTAGTTTGTCACTTGTTTCCATCACACAACACTGTCAGCATCATCTGTGGAGAAAAGGCTATTTGGAATTTTAATCTTAATAGCTATAACTTGGCATAACAAATGAATGACTTCCATTTTTTTTACCCATATCTAAAATAGAATTCAAAAAAATTTCAAATTTCAATACATCAAAACACAGGTGGTTTTAATCCCTCAAGCTAAGTGTGCAAATATGTCTTGTAAATTGACACATCAGCTTAGTGTCATTCCCTACTTCCACCACTAAATACGCAGGTAAATATAAATTCAAATTCGTAATTAACAATGCCAGGCAACCATATACAGTTAAAATGGATCTATACAAATATACATGTACAGAAAAGAGCTAATAGACCAGGCCTGAGACTGCCTATCATTAGAAAGGTCTGCTTGCACAGCTGGTCCTTAGCTGGCATGTGGGAACATAGATTTGGTGAGGTTTCCCACCATTCTCAGAACTGATAAGAATGGCTCACATTCCTAAACCGTTTGAACAAACAACAAAGTTTATGCTTAACACCTGCTTTCCTTAGGGGAATCTGGAATTTTGGTACATGCTTGGAAAAGGGTGCTTATATAATCAGCCCTGAATAAAAACCTTAGGAACTGAGTCTAGTGAGTTTTCCTGGTAGACAACATATCCCCATTTTGTCACATCTCCTGTGCAACTCCACCAAGAGAGGACTCATGGAAGCTTATGCCTGGATGCCTTCAGACTTTGTCCCACACGTCTTTTTCCCTTGCTGATTTTGCTTTGTATCATTTTGCTGTAATCAATCATAGCCATGAGTACAACTATACACAAAGTCCTGTGAGTCCTCCTAGTAATTCACCAAACCTAGGGGTGGTCTTGGGAACCCATGACACGACACACAAAAGTAAATTCATTGATATGGTAAAAAGAGGTGTCTATACACCAATGAAAAATTTTAAATATAAAGAATTTAAAATTACAAGTTTTAAAAGCATAACTTTGGATCCCAGAATTAAAGGCCACTTACACATACAAAAATGTGTTCTAAAATTTACCCAAGGGCTTGCTGCTTTTTTCCAGTTAAGCTGTCTAAAGACAATATTTGGTTTTACAATTCTAGCTTATCTTTATACAGCTGTACCCAAAGTACCTACACTAAAAGTGTTTTATACACTCTTCAGCATATATGGATAACCGAATAAAGCAATCACCATAAGCATAAGAGGTCATTGTCAAACTTCATTCTAAATTGAAGAAATTTTAGAAACAATTTCATTTATATATCATTCAAAGTCTGCTAAAATCTACAGTAAAACCACAAAGATTTCCTAGTGAACATCCCATATGGAAGATGTTCAAAGGTGTACCGTACCTTTCACTGAAGGAAAAACAATTCATTAATAAGTTTATAAAAGTCTCCTGTCACTGATAATTACAATAAAATCAAGACTTAACAAATGTTTAACAGGCCCAAAAAGAGCAGAGATATACATTTCACTAAACAGACAATAAAATTTTAAGACATGCTATTCAATTTTATATAATGACTGATATGATTGTGCTTACCTTTGTTAAATTAAGGAAGAATTACTGTTTACAAATAGAGATTCCAGGAGACATCAGCAAGATAGCAGAACAGACAGTCTCCAGCATCACACACTCACATAGCCAATCAATTTATAACTGTTGAAAAGCAGACTTCCAGCCTGGGACTGCTGGAGCTCAGGGAGGGAGAGTAGGGGCATTCTGAGGGGGAGAAGAGTGACTCAGAGTGTACCATACCAGCCCCCAAGCCAGAGAGACCACTGGCAGGGTTCCCATGGACCCACACAGGATCGAGGCCACAGCTGACCAACAAAAGGGGCCACCCAGAGGCCAGTGAGAGGGACCCCCACATACCCACCCCACAGGAAGCATTTAGTGTCGCAGCTGGGAAACAGGCCCACTAGGGGAACACTGGAAGGCAGTGTGGGCAGCTCATCTGCCTTCCAATAGGCACAGGCCCATTCAATGCAGACTGATGAGGGCAACAGAACTGCAGGGAGTGCAGTTTTCTGGAAAGACTCAGTTCCAGGCCAGAATTTCCACACAGCCTGAGGTGTACCTGAACTCACAAGACCCAAAAGTAATTAAAAGGCCAACAACTAAAACCTGAGCCACACAAAAAGCCTTCTCCAGAGAACCAGCAGCAAAGCAAAAATTTAGCTCAACCACAGGGCTCAAGTGCTGGTCCTCACAGGAAGGTCCCCTATTTTGGAATTAACCAAAGATCAACAAAATATTTCCAGGGCAGAGTTTAAGTGGTGGTGGTAGATAATAATCCAACACAGAACTGGGGGGAAAAAAAAGATCAGAAACAAAGCTCTGATATTAACTAACCAGTAAAGGTCTAACACCACCAAAAAGAACACCTATAAAACCTAGAAGAGGGAGCAGTCTCCTTAAACGCCCAGGCATCAATGTAAAGACACAAAGATCAAGAAAGAACAGAGAAATATGACACTATCAAAGAAAACAAACCAAGCACCAGCAATGGACCCAGAGGAACAGCAGATTTATGAAATGTCTGACAGAGAATTCAGAAGAATCCTCTTAAGGATGTTCAGGCAGTCACAACAAAACACAGAAAATTAAGTGATATATGGAAAACAACCCAGGAGCAGAATGAGAAACTTGATATAGGAATAGAATCAATTTTTTAAAACCCAATAGAAATTCTACAAATAAAGAATATGTTATCAGAACTGAAAAAGTCGATAGAAAGCTCCAACGGCAAACTTAAACTGAGGAAAGAATCAGTGAACTCAAACATAAAACATACGAAATTATCAACTCAGGGCTGGTCAGTTAGCTCATCTGGATGGAGCAGCAGTTTTCTCAGTAGAAACCCTACAGGACAAAACAGAATGGGATAATATATTCAGAATGCTGGAGGAAAAAGACTGTCAGAAATGGAAACCAAAAAAGAGCAGGCATAGCTATACTTATATCAGATAAAATAGACTTCAAGACAAAGAAAGTAAAAAAAGATAAGGAAGGTTATTATATAATGATAAAGGGATCGATTTAACAAGAGGATTATAGCAATTCTAAATATATACGTACTCAACTCTGGAGCACCCAGTATATAAGCAATTATTATTAGAGCTAGTCAGAGAAATAGACTCTAATACAATAATAGCTGGGGACTTTAAAACCCTGTTTTCATCAAAGGACAGATCATCCAGACAGAAAGTTAACCAGAAAACATCAGAATTAATCTCTACTCTAGGATGATTGGACAAAATGGACATAAATAGAATATTTCATCCAACAACTACAGAATACACATTCTTCTCAGCAGGACATGGAACATTCTCTAGAAATAACCATATGTTAGGTCACAAAACAAGCCTCAACAAATTTTTAAAAATTGAAATCATATCAACTACCTTGTCCAATCTCAATGGAATAAAACTAGCAATCAACAACAAAAGGGACACTACAAACGGTACAAATACACAGAAATTAAACAACATGCTCCTAAACATGGGATTCAGCAAAAGCAGTTCTAAGAGGAACACTTATAGCAATAGATGTCTACACCAAAAAAGAAGACAGACTTCAAACAAACAACCTAACATTACACCTTAAGGAACTAGAAAAACAAGAACAAACTAAACCCAAAAATCAATAAGAGGGGAGAAATAACAAAGATCAGAGCAGA